CCTTCCTTCCTTCCTTCCTTCCTTCCTTCCTTCCTTCCTTCCTTCCTCGAAGACAACAGAACCTGGAAAACAAAACACAGAAAATGGGGTTCCCCAAAGAAATGGCGGTGTCCTCAGAGTCCTCAGCGTCCTTCATTTATCACAAAAAAAAAGGGACGCGATACGGAACACAACCTGATGGAACGCACAAAATGACCTTCATGCACGGGCCTTCATGGTCCCAAAGAGCTGCAGCTTCCAATAATTTTAATTAATTATGTAACGGGTTTCGATTGGGTGGACAGCACTCCTTTGGCAATCGCCAGGCCTTTTCGTGAGAGCCTCGGAGATTCGCGGCTCGCGCCAGATCCAGGGCAGATTCGCCTTTGGCGGTCTTCTGCTGGACATCTGCACCATCCAGGAGCAGGAAGCAAAGAGCCTGATGATCTCCTGGTTGCATCAACTCGAACAATCCATAGAAATACTATGAAGACAAGAGCTTTAATTCGTTTAATTACAAACATGCAGTGGTGGGGTTCACAGGGCCCTGGCAGTGTTTCGTTTGGGATTGGCTCGTCACCATGGGTCCCATGGGTCCCCTAGATGTGTCCACCAAGTCACCCAGCTGCGCGGCCAGATGGAGGGGTTGCAGTTCACGGAGTCGTGGCTCCACCGTCGTCGTCAGCCTCCGAATCCGGCCCTCTTCGATCATCACGTCCACCGTACGACGCAGCCGCCGTCGGCCGTGGCGCTGGACGAAGGGGCTGGCCACGTGGTCCGCCAGCGGGGAGCAGGACTCGCTGTGGAACGCGTCTTCCGAGCCACGCGGTGTCGAGATGGGCGAGGGATCTGGGCTCGGAAGCATGGTGGGGTTGAAACGGGAGGGTCGGTGTTGGCATCAGGAGTTGGGTATCTTGAGTCCAAAAAGCGGTACACAATCCCCAATAAACTGGTGGTTTTCGTGGTGACTTGTAGCATCTTGTAGCGCAAATGAGGAGGTTTCCACTATAGTCGCACGGAACATGTACCGCCATAAAATCAATCCATCAATCATGGTTGTGTTTATGTTTCATTGTCTCATTGGATGCCAGGAGTGCATGGCGTGGCATCATTCTGAATAGGCCGGCATAGGGCAACAATTTTAGAACAAAACTGTTTATTAAACTTGGACTGCATGTTTTGTGCAATCATATTATATACTGTATTTACAAGTCCAATTAATTCTATATGTGTAACTATATGTAATTACAATCAACTACATCTAAATTCTATTGTAATTACTGTACATGTAACTAATTATAGATACTTATTATTTGTATATATGGAGGAACATCTGACATGGATCCTGTTTGGACCTTCCCAGACGTCACCAAGGGACCTCCCTTTTGGAAGGCACTGGAATATGATCAAAGATGATCACTCACAGACCCCACACTCGCTCAGCACAAACATGATCTCCAAACTCCGAGAAATCTCACAGCTCCCCAGCACTAGTCCAGGTGTCTTCCCTCCAAACCAAGAGACCACACGTGTCGAGCGTTGGAAGATCCCAAAGTGCCATGGCGGGAGGAGGGCTGGGCTGCACCAGAACCTGGACCGCCTGTAGGACCCCACCGAAGCGGGTGGAGTTGGGCCACCGGTGAAGCCGTCCAATGGAATCAGGGATCCGGCCGAAGCCATCCAGCCGATGCGGGAAATTTCTGGAAAATGCGAGGAATTAACCTTTTTTTGAGTGGGGTGTCCCCAACCCCCCTAAAAGATCTAAAAGGGGAAAGGTTGTCCACTGACTGGCTAGGCATCCAAAACCAACGATCATATGTTCATCATCGCCCATTGCCCCTCCTGGTGGGAACTTTTGAAGATTTCCATGATGGTTCATGCGCCTTGCAGCTTTTCCCTGAAGGACCCACGAAGAAAGCAGTTCACAAGCACCCCCGCACCCTCCCTGCCTGCTGCCGACCACCCGACTGCCGTCCACCGGTGCAACCACGTACACCCCCGAGCATACGGTCGGTCCAGTCGATCCAAACCACCTCGAAAACCGCCCCGGTTGCGGATTTTCCGATGACCTCCTGGCATCCACACCAGTTCCAGAATCATGCTTCGGGCTCGCTATTGTCTGACAAACACCAGAAGGGAAGGTGCTAGTAATCTACCAACACCTGGTCAAATGTGGTACTACGGGGTGTCCATGAACCACCCTTTAGGCTCCACACCACCCCTTGGGGTAGGTAGTCCGTAGGTCTTTCAAGACCGACCTGACAAAACCTTCTGGAGGGCCAGGTCTGGGTCTGGGGCTCCTCACCATGAGGCCGCTGAAGAGCCGGCTTTGCCTCGAATGACATACAACAGAACAAGATTCACATGAGTTGGATCAGCTCCAAATCAGAACTATCCGCCATGAGATGGTACCTATAGGTAGGGTTCGGGGTTGTCAAACTGCTCAGGATCAGGATGTTGTTGGAACTGTATTACGGACCATCCCCCCCATGGCCCCAAGAGCCAAACATGAGGAAGAGCCATCATCTAAGAGACCTATTGCCCTAAACAAAACAAGTACCTTCTCTGGTACGGTGATGTGTTCGACACTGTTATGTAGGTTTGGAGGGGTCCAAGTACCTGCTGAGGAGGTACGACTGGATCCCTATAGGTTAGTAGTTTCTCGGCAACCATGCATGTCCGAGACTCACGGGACCGGCGTGAAGCGACGGAGCGTCCTTCTTAAAGCGACCAGATGGGAGATTGGAAGGCAAAGGGGGCAAAGCAAAGGAATGGTGGATCAAGATGTTAACCCTCCAGAGATCAACAACGCCTGTAAATCATCCCCTGACAAACGTAGAGATCCAGGAGAGCTTCTGATGCCAAAGCCTGTGGCTGAAGATTTCCTCACTCGACTGTCGTGTCTGAGACCCGCACACCCAAAGTGCATGGAAGAGTTCCGACAACGTGGGCCTGGGCGCAACGCACGTCTTGCGGCTTGCGGCTTGTCACCTCTTAGTCACCAAATGTTTGATTCCCTTGGATGGCTATCATGTCTCTACAATGGCTATGGGCTCACAACCTTCACGTCATGTGTCTTTTCGTTACCTCAACCGAAAGTTAGTTTGAGAGCAGCGCCGAATCAAACTGCCTGTCCTAAACCCAACACGCCAAGCAGCTTGGAGACTTTCATTTACCAGTTGAATCCAGTTGATCAGCGTTCAATTAGGTTCAGTCAACTTCCCTGTCCACCCAAAGCCTACAAGTCCACCAATGGTGGGTCAAACAGCGAAGCAACCCCTCAAAAATACATTTCGCCCGTTGACAAACCACTGGTTGACGACCGCTCGTCTCCAAAAAGAAATGGCTTCGACGCCATGCTTCGCCCGGACCAGGGGCCAGGCTCTTGACGGTACACGATGACCCCGCCCGAACGGGCCTGGCCACATGTGTCGCCACAGACTCGCAGCAGCTGCGGCTTCAACCCGGTCCAGGTGGTTCGACATGTCCTTTTCTAGTCAGTGAGACAAGTCAAACACTCCAATCAAGGAAAGAACAATACAATAAAGGATTGATCCAAGTTGATCCCTAGGCCCTATATGATTGTGTTGTATAAGGGTTGTTCCGTTTCGGTGTATTTTTTGGGCGTGCTCTTGATGGTGGATCTCACACCATTCGCCCTGTCAAGCGGGACTTGGAACCCTTTCGCAGATTGTTGCACACCAAACTATGCGCACAGAGCGCATGGAGATCCTTTTTGGTCTTCAAATCTGCCACCCTGTCAATGCCACCGGACGCATTGGACGCAACCCTGTCGATGAAGCAGTGCCACAGGTTACGAAAACTACTACATCAAGATACATCAATCAAGCAGTGTTCTCAAGCTCGAGGAGCTAGGGGCAAGCTCTTCCGCCCTGAAAGTGATTCCCAGCAAACATGCATCACTGTCTGCTGTCATACGCTGTCCCTTCTGAAGCCAACGTGTATAGATAGATAGATGGATAGATGATAGATATCAAAAGATAGATAGATAGATAGAAAGTTAGATAGATAGATAGATAGATATCGATAGATAGATAGATAGATAGATAGATATCGATAGATATCGATAGATAGATAGATAGATAGATAGATAGATAGATGGATGGATAGATAGATAGATAGATAGAGAGATATCGATAGATAATAGATAGATAGATGGATAGATAGATATCGATAGATAGATAGATAGATAGAAAGAAATCGACAGACAGATAGATATCGATAGATAGATAGATATAGATAGATAGATAGATATCGGTAGATAGATAGATAGATAGATATCGGTAGATAGATAGATAGATAGATATCAATAGATAGATAGATAGACAGATATAGATAGATAGATAGAAAGATAGATAGATAGATAGATATCAATAGATAGATAGATAGATAGATAGATATCGATAGATGGATAGATATAGATAGATAGATAGGTAGATAGATAGATAGATATCGATAGATAGATAGATAGGTAGATAGATAGATAGATAGGTAGATATCGATAGATATATATCGATAGATAGATAGATAGATAGATAGATAGATAGATAGATAGATATCGATAGATAGATAGATAGATAGATAGATAGATATCGATAGATAGATAGATATCGATAGATAGATAGATAACGATAGATAGATATCGATAGAAAGATAGATATCGACAGACAGATAGATATCGATAGATAGATAGATATAGATAGATAGATAGATAGGTAGATAGATAGATAGATATCGATAGATAGATAGATAGATAGATAGATCCCTAAGGATCCGAGAATCTACTTTTCATGGCTGCCAGCCACTTTCCAAGGTTCTGGCCCCCTAGAAGCCAATGCTGGAAGATAAGATTTGTGGCTGGCAGCTAAGATTCATGGCTGGCAGCCACAAATCTTATCTTCTCAAAACTGGCTGGCAGCCATGAAAAGTAGATTCTACTTCTAAATGTGGCTTCTGCCAAAACTCATGCTACCACCTCCAAGAAGCGCTTCTGGGAAGTCACTTTTTGTGGCTTCCCAGAAGCGCTTCTTGGAAACATGCTATTTGATATGTTGCAGCTGTTTGGCTTTAAACAAGCTAGGTATAGATGTCAGGAGAAGCAATGCTGCCCATCCCCCAGCCTGCAATAAAGGCAGATATCAGCAAGTTGGTGGCCTTTGCAAAAGGCTTCCCTGACTCTTGCAATGCAAACCTGTGGTCAGCTGACCCTGAAAAAGCCGGCGCAAGGCATGCATTGTTTTTGGATGTGTGGTTCAAGCATGGGGCTCTGAGCAAGCCTGTGGAAAGGCAAGCAATGAAAGAAAGCCAACCATAAATTGACCACATCAGAATGCAAGTTGATCGTGAACCAAATTCATGAACGCAAAAACTTTCTGAGAAGAAAATGGAAAAATCTCAAGACTGGAGAAAAGACCTCTGGTCTATTGATGGGTTTGATGCAAAGTCTGTTTGGCACTCCACAGCCTGCAGAAAGGCCAGTGAGAAGGCTTAACCAGAAGACACCAAAAAAGAAAGCCCTTCAGCCTGCAGAAGAGAAGCCTGAGCAAGGCCCAGCACCTATCACTTTTTTAGAATCCCCGGCTGCCATTCTACCATCAGACCAAGAGGTGGTGGAAATCGAAAGTACAGCTGCAAGCACAGCAGTGACACAACGAGGTCTGGAGCCTGCAAAAAGGCCATCGTGCAAAAAAAGTTCCAAAGAAAGCGCCAGCCTGCAAAAGGCCAAGTGCAGCAAGAAAAGCCAAGGCATGTTGGAAGAAAAGCCTTTCCTTTGGGTTTGTTAAGGAAACCAAAGCTTCAAACAAGGCTTACATTGTGTCCAAGCCTGAAGAAGGCAGCAAGCCAACTTGCCTGGTGAATGTGCAATTGCCTAGGGGTCCTGACCAAGACAGAGTCATGTCTGCACTTATGGCTAAAGCCTGTGAAGAGGCAAGCCTGGAGAAAAAGCAGCTGGTCTCATACAAAGATCAGCTGCTGAAGGACATGCCAGCACAGCCTGCATAAAGGCACCCCTTGGTGAGGATCAAGGAACAGACAGCAAGCCATGGCGATGGAAAGGCAGGAGAGGGAAAGAAGAGGCCTTGAGCCTGGACCAAGGCAGTGCAGGGCAAGAAGCAAAATGCCAGCACAGGCCAAACCCTCCAGAACCTCCTAAACCAAGGAGGGCTCAGCCTGCACAAGGCACACCACCAGCCCAGCCTGAACAAGGCTGTTTCCAGAGCAATGAAGAAAAACCAAAGCCTGAACAAGGCCCAAGTCAGTCAACTGGTACAAAAGAAGAGACAGTTCCAGAATGCAAAAAGCCCAAGCCCAACGCAGAAAATGCATCAAAGCCTGCAGAGGCTGAGCAGGCAGTGGAGCCTGAGCCAGAATGAGCAGCCTGCACAAGGCCAGAATGAGCAGCCCAAAAAAGGAGATGATGCTGCTCATGATGGTGCTGATGATAAAGGCACTCTGGATTTCTGAGTGGGCACTGCACAGCTCAAGCCTGAACAAAGGCCAGCACACCCCATGGCTGAAGCCTGAACAAAGGCCAACTCCACCACTGGTCAGCTCAAGCCTGAACAAAGGCCATTCAAAACCACAGCTGTCTTCTTAGCCTGGATAAAGGCTTGTACAGAAATGGAGCTTTGGCAGCCCTGCAAAAAAGCTCTTTGGGTGGGGAGTGGGGTTTTGTGGTTGGTTGTTGCTGGTAGTGGTGGTGGTTGGTAGGTGTTGGATTAGGGGAAGCCTGGAACAGGTATACTACTTGAGATGTGAGTGGTTCACCCCCAAAGGTCTTGAAGGTGAGTGGTTCACCCCCAAAATTGGTAAGGTGAGCCTGCAACAGGCCAGAAACACCAAAGCAAAAAGTACAAAAAAAGTACGAAAATCGTACTTTCGTACTTTTGTACTTTTTTTTTGTTTTTATATATTTCCTTTTAAATTAAAAGGAAATGTATAAAAAGTACAAAAGTACGAAAGTACGATTTTAGTACTTTTTCGTACATTTTCTTACTTTTTGGGTCTCTCAGCATCTCTGCTGCAGCTTTTGAAAAATCAAGGGCAGACCACCAACACACCAGAAAAGGACCACCAACACACCAGCACCTTCAAACAACCAACGCCACACAACAAGCACAAACACACCAAACCTGGCACCCACGCCACCTAGAAAGAGGCGGACCACCAGAGCCTGAACAAGGCACCATTGTAGTGAAGCAAGAGACAGCCACTCCTCACAAAGACAAGCCTGAGGAAGGCACCCCTACCAAGGATTCTGCAAGGGGCTCACCCCAAGCACCCAGAATCAGAATGAAAAATTTCACCAAAAGCTGTAGCCAAGGCCAAGCCCAAGGCCCAAAGTCAGCCTGCAGAAGGCCATTATGAGGCACCTTGGAAGGATGTGCGCTATCTGCTGCAGAAGCTGGAGAAGGCTGGAGTCTGCACAAAGTTGGTCCAGTGCTGTGCAGGTTGCGGTGAGCCTGCGCAAGGCATGGTGCCTCTAGGTATTCATGGTGAAGGAGTGCCTGTGCTGCAAGGCAGAATGAACCAATCTAGCTTGGATTTCATCACTGTCAACCTCTTGGCCTCAAGGCATTAGAGTCCCCCTTACTTGCGTCGATGCCAAAATTCATTGCAAGGCCAGAGACCACGCAGGCCATCTTGGAAGTTCTTGCTTGGAGCCTGAAACATTTGGTATTGGGAACGCAGCCTGCATTAAGGCATGATGGTGCTCCTTTCGAAGAATCCTTTCGATTGACAAGAATTGGCAAAAGCCTGCGCAAGGCTGTTGTAGTTATGATGCGAGGAGATTGGGATTGGAATGTCAAATGGTATGGCTGTCCTATGCACAATGTCAAAGTAGGAATGTGTTGGCTGTGCTCCTGCAAGCCAGGTGAGTGGAGATGCCAAACATTAGATCAGAGAAAGAGCCAAAGCCTGGACAAGGCCCAATTTCTGGCAAGCCTGGAATAGAGAAAAAAGGCCATAGCACCACTTTTCCATGTGAACCCACTTACCAACCACACCATAGTCCCTGATTGGCTGCGTGTCATGGATGAAGGATGTGGTGCAGCCTGTGCAGGGCAAGTTTTGAACGCTTTGTTGCCCTGCTATGAAGGGAAGAAGCCAGAAAAAGCAAGCAGATTGTGGGCACATATTCAGACTATCTACTCAGAGTTGGGTGTCCCAGCCAGTGCGCAATTGCCCAAACAGCCTGGGAAGGCCCCTGAACCTGCAGGCAGGGGATTTTGAGCACTTTGACAAGTGCACACGAGTTTGACACAGGCACCAGCCTGCAAAAAGCAATCCACAAAGTTGCCACCTTCACCACCCAAGTCTATCAGCACGTGGAAGCTTTCAATGGCAGGAAGCTGGCCAAATATGGAAGGGCATTGAAGAGCCAGTACATGGCATTGGAATCTCACATTCAAAGAGAAGATGAAAATGATGTTTGTTCCTGGCATGCCAAGCCTAAGTGGCACTTGGCTGAGCATATTTTTGATTTAGCCTGCATGCAGCAGTGGGCACTCAGAAGGGGTGGGAAGAGAAACGCAAGCAGTGAAGCAGAGAAAACCCTCCTTTGTTTCATGAATGACACACCCCCTCTGAATGTCAACTTGCCCAGCTCAGCCTGAAGAAGGCCCATCCGATGTCCAGCTTCAGCCTGAAAGAAGGCCATGCAACCATAGGTACAATATGTTTCACCTTGTCTCACACAGTTGTGCCAAGGAAAAAGATGCACATGCTGATTTGCAGAAGCCACTTTTTGTAGCTTCTAGAGTTCAAAACCCGGAAGCCACTTTCCATGGCTGCCAGCCAAAAATCTTAGCTTCCACCAGAAGCTATTTTTAAAAGTGGTTTCTCGGATCCTTAGGGATATCGATGGATAACAATAGATATCGATAGATATCGGTAGATATCGATAGATATCGATAGATATCGATAGATAGATATCGATAGATAGATATCGATAGATAGATGTCGATAGATAGATAGATAGATATCGATAGATAGATAGATAGATAGATGGATGGATATCAATAGATAGATAGATATCGATAGAAAAATAGATATCGATAGATAGATAGATAGATATAGATAGATAGATAAATAGATAGATAGATAGATAGATATCGATAGATAGATAGATAGATAGATATCGATAGATAGATAACGATCGATCGATCGATAGATAGAAAGATAGATATAGATATAGATATAGAATGATATAGACATAGATATAGATATAGATAGATAGATAGATAGAAATATAGATATAGATAGATAAATAGATAGATATAGATAGATAGATAGATAGTTAGATAGATAGTTAGATAGATAGATAGATATCGATAGCTAGATAGATAGATAGATAGATAGATGTCGATAGATAGATAGATAGATATCGATAGATAGATAGATAGATAGATAGATAGAAAGATAGATAGATAGATATCAATAGATAGATAGATATCGATAGATAAATAGATATCGATAGATAGATAGATAGATATAGATAGATAGATAAATAGATAGATAGATATCGATAGATAGATAGATAGATATCGATAGATAGATGGATATCGATAGATAGATAACGATCGATCGATCGATAGATAGAAAGATAGATATAGATATAGATATAGAATGATATAGACATAGATATAGATATAGATATAGATAGATAGATAGATAGAGATAGATAAATAGATAGATATCGATAAATATCGATAGATAGATAGACAGATAGATAGATAGATAGATATCGATAGATAGATAGATAGATAGATAGGTAGATAGATAGATAGATATAGATAGATAGATAGATAGATATCGATAGATAGATAGATAGATAGATATATATATAGATAGATAGATAGATAGATAGTTAGATAGATAGTTAGATAGATAGATAGATATCGATAGATAGATAGATAGATAGATAGATATAGATATATAGATAGATAGATAGATAGATAGATAGATAGATAGATAGATATAGATATCTAGATAGATAGATAGATAAATAGATAGATCGATAGATCGATAGATCGATAGACCGACCGATCGATCGATCGATTGATAGGGAAGATGGATGGATGGATGGATGGATGGATTGGATTGGATTGGAGTGGATTGGATTGGATTGATGGATTGGATTGGATTGGACTGGACTGGACTGGATTGGATTGGATTGGATTATATAGATAAGCTGGATACGATAGATAAGATAAATAAGAAAGGTAGGAAAATAGAAAGAAACATAGATAGATAGCCACGTCAACTGGCTGGTAGTTACACACAGTTGTGCATATCAGGACCCTCACTGTCAGGTCTTTAGTTGAGGGTTGGGAAGGGCCCTAACTGGTTTTACTTGGTCACTAGTTAGTTATACTCCTCATGCAGAACATGGAACCCCAAAACCACTGGGTTGGTATTCAGAAAATGGTCCATGGATCAATGTCAATTCTCATTGTCCATGGGATCACCAGCAAGGGGGATGTTACATTGCATGGAAGTGGAGTTCACCCCATGTTTGTAAAGGAAAGTAGTCTTCCTTTCGGGACCATGCCATCCGCGTAACCATGCAATGTGTTCGTAAATATATATATATATACATACATGCCCATGGAAACCAATGCCCAAAACTCCAAACCTCCAACCCGAGTTCTCGTTTTTCGTTCGCGGCGGGTCCGCCTGCAGCGACATGGGTGGTGCCGGCAGCACGAGGAGTGTGAAGCTGCAGAGCCTGGCGACGCCGATGGCGAGGGGGGGACGGGGAGAGGGTTTGGGGGATGGCCCAGGTGCCGTTCTTTATTGGAGTGAAATGGTGTGAAATGGATTGAAATGGTCAGTGGCACCAATACTTCAACGCTGATCATCGCTGATCTAGCGCAGGTAGAAACCATGGTTGGTCGGCAGTTGAACTATGTTGAACTGGTATCCCTGGGCTGAAGCTGGTTGAAGGAGTCCACAGTTGTTTGAAGTTACCCGATGTTGAGTGCGATATCCTCAATCCGGTCATTGCCATTGCCCCAGTGGCCGGAAACCAAAAAAGTACCAAAACCCAGATCCAGGTTTCCAATCGATTCCTGCTCGCTTCGCCCCAGCGATCCGATTAAGTGAGACTTGGCCCGTCTTACAACTGCTCCGCTCCGTGGCCCTTGGTTTCCCGCTCGGCTCCGTGGCCCGAACATCGGACGGACGCCGAAATCGGGCGCATGGCGGAAAGGTAGACACTCCACCTTCCAACTGGGTGTCCCCACAACCACATGATGAAGAAAAACAAAAGTTTCACCAAGCTCTGCTCCACCTCCGGCCGCCCCTGAGAGGAGAACGGGAGGTCGGAGATCTCAGGATTGCGACGACGGTTCGAGCTTGTGTGCGACGTGAACTCTAATGACCTCCACCCAGTCGTGGTGTGTCACGTCGGGCAGGTCGGACCAGGGTCTGGTATTTCGATCAGGGTAACAACCAGGCAGTGGAAGTGCTGTTTTCTTTGACTCTCCAGATTCTTGGGCGCCCGTAGTCCTATCCTTCCACCGGTCACCTTCACTGCCACCTGCCATTTTCGCGGACCGGGCACTGCCAAATAAATCCTGGTCGACCATTCTCAACAAACGTGCCAAAGGACACCTTCATCCGCCTTTATAATCAACATACTTCCGTTGGATGGAGACTACTACGGTGGTTTCTTCCTCCAACCTCCTCCAGCCCATGTGAGCGAGTTGCAAAACCTCCGACTAATAAGCAAACCATGTTCCTTGGGTATGTGGTTAAGTTATGCATGTTGTTGTTTTTTGTATGTTGCTAATGTTTGCTATATCGTTGTGCAGGGTTTGTGTATATACACATTTTAAACTTAAACTTCACAACATTTAAACAGGGGCAAAGAGTTGCTCTTGGCAAAGGAATGCGATGCGTGCCTTTTCAAAAACGAAGCTTCATTGACGGACAGAGTTTCCAGCACCAATCCACTGGCTGCTTTGCCAGCGGGACCTTACCAGTAATCTGTCTTCCATAGGGTCCATGCAAAATTGTATGATTGCGATATCTATCAACGACTGGATCATTGTTGGAAAACGCCCAGGGCCCAAAGCTTTCATCCCAAAACTGTTTCCGGGAAGGTCCATTGCTCTAGTCACCGCCCCTACCAAAGATTGTCAGGATTGTCTGCTTGCACAGGAGGCTTCAGCATGCTTCAGCATCGGATGAAGCGTTGCGCAGTCTGCCAGCCGCGCAAGCCAGTCAGTATGATAGCATCTTTGCGTGCAGTGCGCCAATGGCGCAAACAGCTTAACTGTAGCTTCGTGGCATGAAGGCAGCATTTCGGAACCTTTGGCAAACGAAGATCCGAAATGCGCGTCGCGCGCCTCACAACGTCGAGCCCAACGATGGCCATCCTCCAAATCCAGCAATGAGATCCAGCCTCCACGGGCGAACGGACTGTCTCTCTCGGTCGCCGCGGTCCGCGTCGGTGCGTGGGAGTCTTCTCCACGGTGGGGAGGAGGAGCCAGAAGACCAAAAGGAGCCATGAGGAGAGGGCAACATCTAGCCCTTCGTGACTTCGTGACACGCGTTTTCAAGAGGGTTCAGTGACCCGGACGCCCGTGACCTGGGGTGCCTAAGTGAGCTCGTGACTTCTCCAGTGCCGGTTGGGCCCTCAGGATAATGGAAGTCACTCCCTCCTGAGGACCAGCTGGTTTGAGTTCCACAATGGCCATACAGCATGGGACAGCATAAGAGCGCAAGCTCTTTAGTTGCAAAGTTCTATCTACTTGCCAAACGGATACGGACGACGATCGAGGCGACCCACTCAGACTTGTTGTGATGGAGCAGAAAGGTGAACAATGAACCCTATAGATCGGGTTAGGTTAAAAAACATGAGTTAGGTTAGTTGAAATAACCTAACCTAAATAGTTAAATATAACCTATGTAGGTTATTTGGTTTGTAGGTTGTGCTTAGGTTGTTTTGAAAATAACCTAACCTAAGGTTAGGTTACTTTCAAAATAACCTAAGGTTATTCAGATGAATAACCTAAGGTTCTTCTTATGAATAACCTATAAAATGTTTCTTTGGCAGTGCCAACCATTGCCAAAAACTTCAAAAAATTAATGTAACACAAGAAACCTCACATGAAAGTGTGCTCTCAAGTGAAAGTCTCTCAAGTGAGTGTAAGGGAAGGACGGGTACAGGGAAGTCTCTCAAAAGCCTGTGAAGCTCAATAGGGAAGTCGTGCAACATCTATCCTTATAGAGGGATAGATGTAAAGAGGGAGAAGGAGAGAGAAGGAAAAAAACAAAAATAAGATAACACAAGAAAAGGATATAAAAAAGAGAGAGAAGGAGAGAGAGAGAGAGAGAGAAAGAGAGAGAGAGAGAAAGAAAAAGATAGAGAGAGAGAGAGAGAGAAAGAAGGAGATAGAGAGAGAGAGAGAGAGAGAAAAAGAAAGAAGGAGATAGAGAGAGAGAGAGAGAGAGAGAAAGAAGGAGATAGAGAGAGAGAAAGAAAGAAGGAGGTAGAGAGAGAGAGAGAGAGAAAGAGAGAGAGAGAGAGAGAGAGAGAAAGAGAGAGAGAGAGAGAGAAAGAGAGCGAGAGAGAGAGAGAGACAGAGAGAGACAGAGAGAGAGAGGAAGAGAGAGGGAGAGAGAGAGAAGGAAAGAGGGGAGAGAGAGAGAGAAGGAAAGAGGGGAGAGAGAGAGAGAGAGAAGGAAAGAGGGGAGAGAGAAAGAGAGAGGGAGAGAGAGAGAGAGACAGAGAGAGAGAGAGAGAGAAGGAAAGAGGGGAGAGAGAGAGAGAGAAGGGAAGAGGGGAGAGAGAGAGAGAGAGAGAAGGAAAGAGGGGAGAGAGAGAGAGAGGGAGAAGGAAAGAGGAGAGAGAGAGAGAGAGGGGGAGAGAGAGAGAGAGAGAGAAGGAAAGAGGGGAGAGAGAGAAAGAGAGAAGGGAAGAGGGGAGAGAGA